CACCCTATTATTAACTTTGCCATTTTGGATTATTTAATTTGGATTTGCAATAACTTTGGATTGTTGTACATTAAAAAAAATAAAATAAGACCTACCCCGAAAATAAGACCTAGTGTGTTTTTTTTAGCCCAAAAAAATATAAGACAGTGTCTTTTTTTCGGGGAAACACGGTAGGTAGCTGACCTCATTTTTTGGGCACATGACATTGCTCAACCTAGACCTGATCAACTGAAGCAATTCCAGATTATAACAATGCCCGAAATCCAGGTGGTGAGTTATTTTGTTGGCCAGGCAGTGTATGTTGTTAATAATGATGTTCTATGAAAAAAGTTGGGCTTTTAGGATTTTTGGGCCTACAAATAAATACAAATAAAATGGCCAACCACAAGCCAGGTTGGGACAGGAAGAGCCAGCAAGCACAGAGGAGTCCGCGCTGGATCGGAGACCCGCAGCAGCGCTGGAGGGACAGCTGAAAACAAAGAAGATCGGATGAATGCCCGGTTCACACCTAGGCGTATCAAATATGCGCGTTTGTCGTGCGTTCCGTGAGGGCTACTTGGCTGTATCCCAATGGAAACGCGTGACAAAAACGCCCCAAAGAAGCTCCTGTACTTCTTTGGGCGTAGGGCGTTTTGTAGCGCGTTCATACGGCCTGTAATACGCCCAAATGTGAACCATACCCATAGGAAATAATGGGATCTTGGTGTTTGAGCGTTTTGCAGAGCGTAGGAACGCGCTACAAAACGCCCAGGTGTGAACCGGGCATTAATCCGAACTTCTTTGCTTGCTGGCTCTTCCTGTCCCACACTGTCCATAGACTTAGGCCCCATTCACACTGAGCGGCATGAAAATCGCGCGATTTTCCGCACGATTTTATATGTGCGATATTGCGCGACGTTGCGCGACTTTTTCCTATTGGGCTGTATGCAATCAGGAGCAAAATCGCTCCAAAACCGCAGAAAAAAGGGTCATGTAGGAGCGACAAGCTACAAGTGATATTGAGCGGCGAGATGTGAACAGCTCCATTGAAATGGATTGGAGAAGCTACATAGAGCGATACCGCTTGGAAATATGAGCGATATCGCTGCTAAAATCGCGCGATAAATCGCTCAGTGTGAATGGGGCCTTACCTTGGGTCTCTCCTCCTCTCCCGGCCGAAAAGTTGAACTGCGCATGCGCCCGCCCCAAGATCCTTTGAGGCCGCCCGAGATTTTTCAGATTTTCGGACGGGAGCACGCGGCGAAGACACAGGAAAGTTTAATCCCTTTTTTACAGCGTTTTATTCTTAAGTTTTTGCATATGTACACTGCTTGCTAACAGTAGATATATCCCAAAAAAAACCTGAGGGTTCACTAACCCTTTAATAGAGTTTTAAAGCAGCGGTACACACACAGACAGCGAAAGAGAACGTCATCAGATTGGCCGTCAATCAATATGCAGAAATAATATTTCCCTCCTGGCTGAGTACACAGTCATAACAGGGGCTCAGCTTGCTGGAAGCCTTTAAACCACCGACAACAGAAAATTCCAGCAGGTGTCTGTTTGATAGACCGTCCG